TGGTTTGCTAGGAACAAACAAGCAGTCTCTGCCAATAGAATGGCGTGCCAACTACATCCACATAAAACCTGAGAGCTTGGAAAGGAATTTTAGACACACACACACACACACACCAGGTAAGTATGACTTCATGGTAGCAGCATATTCTTGGATAGGCTTTGTTTGCTAAAAGCAAGCACAGGCACAATTCCTTTAATGCACAGGCCTCTAGTAATGATGGACACTAAGTGGGAGTCTGAAGCAGTTTCATTCCCATCAGACAAAGCTTGTCTCCACAAACCTCAAAGTTTCTCTGAATCAGGAGATCCAGTACCACCAAAAAGCAGGCTTTATTAATAACAGGCTTGTGCTACAATGACAGAAGAAGGGATCTGGAATTGAGGCTACTTGCAGGGTCACCGAATTTCTGGTTGGGATAAATAGAAGAGACACATTCAATGTATGACTGTGGGACAGCAAAGAATCTGCCTTGACTTCGGGACAACTCAGGTACAGGAGGGATGGATAGGAACCCTCTTTGCTAAACCCATAGACACTAGATACATTTCTGTTATGATAAAATTTCATAAACATAGAATCTTAAAAAAGAACATATCTGGCTTATTTATGGAGGGATAAGAGCCCATGGGGGTGGAAGAGGCGTGGAAGTTAGCTGGAAGATTGAAGACAAAAGCAGTAGACTTGAGTGTCACATCCGCAATCTCAAGCAGAAATTAGGGAGAACAGAGAATAGCTTGCTCATCTCAAGACACACTCGGGGACAGCCTTCTGCCACTTAGGCTCTACAATATAAAGTTCCCCAAACTGTACCATCAACTACACTTGAGGGTCCATGTGTTCAAATGACTATTCATATGAGATATTTCTTTTCATTTTTTATTTAAAAGCTACTTTTTTCCATTTTACATACAAACCACAGTTCACCATTCCTCTCTTGCCACTTTCTCCCAGCTTCCACACACCCCTCTCCAATTCACTCCTCAAAGAGAAAGGCCTCCCATGTAGAGTCTGGCATTTCAAGTTAAGGTAGGACCAAGACACTCCCCCTGATTCAGGATTGAGCAAAGCATCTTACCATAGGGAATGGGCTCCAAAATACCCGTTTATGTACTTGGAATAAAGTCTGGTCCCACTTCCAATGGCCCAACAAGCTCTCCAGGTCACACAAGTGTCCCCTATAATCAGAGGGCCTAGTTTGGGTCTATGCAGGATCCACAGCTATCAGTCCAGAGTCAGTGAGTTCCCACTAGCTCAGGTGAACTGTATGTGGGTTTAGCCATCCTACTCCTAACCCCTTTGCTCATACAATCCCTCTTCCCTCTCTTCAACAGGACTGTGAGAGCTCAACCCAGTGCTTACAGTGTGAAGATTTTCAGAGTAGAAATTGGTCAAAATTCAATCCTTGATCTTTTCTTTTGAAAAGCTCAGAGATTGGTTGGATTTCCTGCCCAGGATTGGCTACTTTTGTGCTGAATTGGTCAGGGGAAGAATGTGTTCTCTAGGTCTGGTTTAAGGGGAAAAGTGTGATGTTTTACCGACCCTTTTCAACATTTTGCCTCTAATATCAGAGTCCGTGAACTGGCTCTGACCTCAGGTCACACTGTATTTCCTCTGGTTTCAGGGACAACAGTGTTTCTTTGGCTCTGCACCAGAGGATGCTTCTTTGGCTATCCATTTGACCCTACACTGCCTAGAGAAGTTTCATCAAAACATTCCCGTGAATGCCTGCACAGCATTTTGCTCTTCTGCTCCATTTCACTTCCTCTACCCCATCTCTGTGACGAATATTGGTTCATTTATAAATGCTCACCCTCTTCTTGCTAATATCCACAGTCAAAACCAAATATTTTTGTTTGTGGAATACCTCCTTGTCTGTGATAATATCTCTAGTTGTAGCTACACTGTGTATAGCAGAAGACTTCAGGGATCACTGTGTCTGAGTATGGACTCCACCCTAGAATCTGAACATGTGCTGCTACACTCTTGTCAGTTTCTTTATGTAAATTATCCCCCGGATTTTTCCTCTATCTAAGGGCCTGAAAAGGCATCATTGTGTTTGGGAGTATCTCAGATTTCACGACAGAAAATTCATAGCTATAAACTTCCATTTTAAAACTGCATTAATATTTTTTTCAAGCATTGTGTGTCCTGAAATTTCCCACGAAACACAGTGGCTTAAGTTGAGCTGAACATCATGGCCAGCCAATAGAAGAGGACATTCTTAAAAATGATGTCAGGATCCTAACATCTCTGGGTTCAGGTACATGTGGGGAGGTGATGCTTGCCTGCGACCTACCCATATACCCATGTACGCACAGATGAGTACTTAAGAAACACCACAATCTTCTGTCCCATATCAGTTCTGAAGAACACATCCTGCATTCTTTGAAATGTAAAATTATAGTAAAAATCTTTTCACACCATTAACACACAGATACGATGCAAGGCTGTGAACTACACACACATGCACAGGTGGCTGTGAAGGTCCTCGAGAAACAACACAGCGCTCTGACTCACACTATCTCTGAAGGAAACATCCTTCAGTCTATGGAACACAGTTCCATAGCACAGTTTTTTTCACGTCATTGATAAACAATGATTTATGTAGTCAAAGACTATGTTCCAGGAAAAGATCTGGATATGTTCCTCAGGGAGAGAAGCAATCTAAAGAAGGAGGCTAGACCACCCATCTGACAGGTTGTGTCAGCGGTGCACTTTCTCCACAAAAGACATAATGTACATCATGATATTAAATTAGAGCACACCCTCCTGGATGGAGCTGGTAAGGTCAAGCTTAGTGGTTTTTGTTTGGCCACTCAGCTTGAATAGGGACAGATGTTGGAGGAGGTTTGTGGCTCCTTACTCTATAGGGTCCCAGAGAAACTGACAATGAATCACTAGATGGGCTGGCAGGTGATAAGAGGAACTTGGGCATCATCCTATATGTCATGGTCACTGGCCACTTTACATGTGTAGAAACCACCCTTGATATGTACACGGAATCATCACTACCATAGTGGGTCCCATTCCCTAACACTTAAAAACTCTGTCTCATCATCGCATGATTACTCACAGTCCCCATCTGGTAAAAACTAATAGTATGTCAGCTTATGCAACAACACTGCTTGGCCATGTTCAACAACATGTATCACATGACAATTAGGAAGTCATTCCAGAGTCATACAACCCATGTATACTATCAGCTGTGAAAAGATATTGTCATTCCTAACACACAGGCACTGACCAAATAATAAACAAACAGCAACAATCAATATACTCAAATACCAAATGAGGTATTCCCATTCCCACCCCCAGCTCCCATGGTGCTTTCCTTCCTTATGCTGATGAATAGATTCATACCTCATTTGGTATTTGAGTATATTGATTGTTGCTGATTGTTGCTGGGAAGCGTCACTTTCAGGAACAGGGTTTAAAGAAAGAGGCAAGGGTTTCAGAAGCCACACCATGTTCCACAGATACTCCAGCCTGGAGGTGTGCCTTCTTCAGCACACACAAGAATAAATAACAAACTGTTAGCAACAATAATACTCTCAACTACCAATTGAGCTATTAGGCCAGCCATAAGCAAGATATATCCTGATTAAATATAATCCCTAAAGGTCCTCTTGGGATATCTCTTGCCTTGAAGAAGAGAGCTAGTGAACTAGGTTTTCACTCAGTATAGAAGCTGAGAAGATCACTTTTAGGAAGAGGGTGTGGAAGAAAGAGGCAAGGGACACAGAAGCTACCCCATGCTCCACAAAAAGTCAACAAAAAGCATCCTGATTGATGTACCAACTGAGCTATGGGGACCGCCATCATTACAAGAGGCACACAGCTTGAATAGGATCCATGCAAGTTCTCCTAGCATCTGCTCCCCTCGAAGAAGAGATGTTCTTCAGGGAGATACGCTATAATAAGAAGGTAACAATAACTAATCAGCCCATGCCACTGGTGCACTTTCTCCACCAAAGACACATTGCACATCGTGAAAATACATCTTGATGGAGGGGGTAAGGTCAAGCTTTGTGAATTCGGAATGGCAACTCAATTGCAGAGGTGCAGATGTTAGAAGAGGTCTGTGTACCCTTACTCCTTTGGACTTCACATATCTTAACAAGGAGCCTATATGATGGATTGGCAGGAGATAAGTGGAGCTTGCACACCATCCTATATACCGTGGTCCCTGGCCACTTCACATACGTAGAAAACACCATTGATGGTATGCACAAGATCATCACCACCACAGAGTGTCCATTCCCTACTATTTGTCAAATCCCTATCACATTATGGTTGCACATGGAATGACATTGGCTGGGCCACATTCAACAACGTACACCACATGCCACTAAGGAAATCATTCCCACAGTCACACAGCCTATGTCCTCCATGGGTGAGAAATCTGAAGACACTGCGTCATTTCTGACACACAGACAACCAAATGGTAAACTAATAGTCACAGTCAATATTATGAAATACTGATGGAGCTGCAGGGAAAGTCATAAACAAGATGAGACACCCTGGTTAAATGTGATTCCTGAAGGTTCTCTGGGCCTCCCTCTACCCTTAGAGGGAGAGCAAGGAACCAGCTTTTCCAATCAGTATAGAAGTTGGGGAGAGGGTACAGAAGAAAGAGCCAAGGGATGCAGAAGCTACACTGTGCTCCACAGATGCTCCAGTCTGGAGGAAATGCCCTGTTCATCACCAGGCACCAAATAATACTGACACCAAAATCAGTATTTTGAAATACAATTGAGCATGGGAAACAGTCATCGACCTGATAAGACATGCTGGTTAAATATGATGCATTCACATCCTCTTATCCTCTCTCTACCCTTGAAGGAGGGAGTTAGTAAACCTTTCTTTCACTTTTGTCATGAAACACACAGTACAATGAAAAATGCAACAGTACATACCTTTATATACACTTTAGGTGACAGCCATGAGTACACTTTCTCCACCATCACCACAGACACACACACACACACACACACACACACACACACACACACACACACTGTTCCTTAAAGTATCAGCACCATCACCTCTGCTCCACATATACTACTATTGCTCAGGCACTGCTGGAGACGCCCCTAGTATTATACATTGATCGCCATGGGTCAGACCCTATTATAGTAGACACTTCACAAATGCTGCCACACAACATACAATGCTGTATTCATAAGACACTGTAGAGCATCTCCCTGAAGCTCCCACAGAGTCATCTCAATATAAGGGCTGTGCACTCTTCAGGCCTTATTAGACACCCCCTAATCCTTTTGTCAAATTCATGAGTGCTCTACTTGTTATCAGGCTGCTGGGACACTCCTTCCATCACCGTGATAGTCTGAAACACACTCTTTGATTTCAGGGCTTGCTCACCACCTACCTGAGCCCTTGTGCAATACTACGTATGACATACCTCTGCACTCCACAGTCCTGAGCCTCAGACTGTGCCTACCCTCAGGCAATGCTCAGTGTCTCTTACACCTCTGTTACTGCCCGCAGGGCACTGCTAATTTTCAGCCATGCTAAATCCCCTACCACTGAATAGTAGTGTATGCAGGCAATAAAACAGTGAGAGGCTAGGTAAGGGTTGATGCTTAGCATTGTACGCATGCCTGCATCTGCACAGAAACTACAATAAGGTCCTGATACCCTTGTATTGGAAGGAGCGTGTGTGTCAGGTAAGTCCTAACCTTATATGTAGATTGTGGGCTGTAGGTGTCCATCAGGGCCTGGCACGTAGTAGTCTGGGGTAAGTGGCAGATCTAGCACAGCACAGCCTGGTGCCTTGCAGTCATTGTGGGGAAGAAGGAGGGTGTTGGTTCTGCATGGGTTGCATCCAGCAATGGGTGTGGAGCAGGGCTAGGGAGTGTGCAGCTCTAGGATTTCCGGGCTCCAGAAGCAGCAACATGGAGACTCACCAGCTCCAGAAAGTCCTATGTATTTCCTTTCTTCAACCTCCTCCTCCTCCTGGGCTTAGGAAAAAGTTAACAGTCAGAGATGGATGTGACCCCCAACTTTGGAAAGTTATCACTGTGCTTCTGTCTCACATCCTTTTGTAGTAATCTTGGGGGTTGCATGGGTGTAAAGAGCGGTGCACAGAGCACATCGGCCTGTCTGCCTGGACACTGCTGACACCGCTAAGCAGTAAACCACCATCTTGGCTTAGAACAGGAATTTGTCCTCTCCGGGGGTGCGTCAGAGTCCAAACTCTCTCCAGATGTCCTGAGGAGTTGTCTCCTCAAGCCGTTCTCCAGTCTCTCTATTTCTTGGGCCGTGGCTGCAGAGCTCACATGAGAACAGTTCATGTTCTCCGGGTGTTTCTGATCTTCCTCCTTATGAGCAGAAACTTACATAGATCTCTTCTGTAACTGTTACATGAACATTGTAGTGTTTGGATCTGGGGCAAGTGTAACATTTGAGATCAAGTTGAGTTTTCTAATGGGTTTGCTATTGACTGCTTTGCACAGTTATCCTCCAGCCCTTGGAGGGCAGTCCATTTTCACTGCCTTGCTTTCCCTGGATGCCAGTGAGAAAATTAGCTGACATAAGGTGGGTAGGGTCTGTCACTTTAACAACAGTGATGGGTGCTGAGAAACAGAGGTGTCTGAGAGATTCTATTCCTTTGTCGTCTTCTCAGACATCCTAAACTCTTCTGAATGTCAATTAGAATAAATCCTCTTGGAATTCTACATCAATATTTCAGTATTTTCAGTATTTGTTAATTGTTTCTCCAAGACAAATGACATACAAGTGGAGGACCTCAAGTACACCATGTGATTGATGGCCTGGAAAAGAGGCCCTGGACACTGCCCTTCCCAGGCAATGCTGTCCCCATACTTTGCAAAGAGGCTCATTAGTTCCCACCCGCTCTACTGGGGCACTTTATCTGCTCAAGCAGGTTTCCCGGGGCGTCTGTCAGAATAGAGAGGCATAGGTCACCTCTGTGCTTGTCAAAATATGCACAGCATCGAAGTGGAACAAGGATTCCACAGTAAAACATCTACAATTTGATGCGTCTGTCACCCTTAGAATTTGCTGATAATTGGGGAGGGGGTCTGTGATTGGATGCTGCAACAGAATTCATTTCATTGCCCTACCCAGGATATCCTCCTGAACCTGTGGGGAGCTTCTGAACTGAGAGCTCAGGAAAGGGCCTGCTAGTTTTCCAGCGAAAAGAGAGAGCTCTCCTGCATCACTGGCTCCCGTGCTGAGTGTGCACGTCCTCAGGTCAGGAATTCCCTGGGTGTCTGTTTCAGGATGTGACCAGGCACCTACAAGAGAAGGAATATTAGAGGCCAATGTAAGAGCTGGCTATGATTCCACATACCCAAAGCTCGAGAAATCTGCCCTAGGAGGATAATGGCAGGCTTACTTTTAATGCACTTTAGGGACTAATGAGACACGTACAATAATGCCCACTGTCTTCCAATGTGCCCTTCCCTAGGCCAACATCTTTATAGTCTCTTTAGGAACCTCTGACTGCAGGGAATGATGTCCCTGGCTGCACTGATACTTTGCAGGAAGGAGGGTTTGAGAACAAAGAATTAATCGCAGCTTCCAAACATCATGCCTAAACACGGGCATTGTGCTTGCTGCACCGCATCTCACGTACACTTGCCTACATCAGACAGGACACATCCTTGGTAAAAATAAGCATCTACAATAGAACAAGTCCTAAAGAGCCTGCAGATATTCAGAGAGAAAGGACGAGAACTAGAGATCTGGAGTTGACCTATGAGACCACCAGGGATTCAACATTACCAATATGGTCATCATATCTCAGTCAATAGGTCACTGGGTGAACATTAAGCAGTTTCCAAATCAAACATACTTTGTCCAAAAGAACAACTCAAAGAATTAGCTTTGTCCTCTGCACGATGGATACTTAAGGACAGCTTTGGGGATGATGTGTGTTCAGTTCCTGCTACAAATAGCTGGTACTGAGTGCACCTGTTCCTGCTCCATCCAGCAGACCAGCAGTGATGGATGGAAGAGTTGGGTGTGGAGTCCTAGTTTTTAGCTGACTTCTATTCTCCCAGGAGAAAAACAACATGGCTCCCTGAGTAGAAGGGACACACAAAGTCACCATCAGACCCAAGGCAATTTTCAGTATAAACAGAAATATACCTCACATCTCCTTATACTGACACCATCCCCTGGGTCTGGAGCCAGTGATTCTCTTGGGCTGTGTCTCCTGGGGATCACTGACCTGGACATAGTGCCCAAGTCTCCCTTCCCAGGTCGAAGCTTCAGTAAAATGCATTAGGACTGAAACAACCCCCTGATGTGTCGCGATTATGACCACATAAGAGCCTCAGTGTCTCAAGACTGCTTTTCCTTGCAAGGCTGTCTGCATCCTCGTGCTCAATAGTCTTCAGCAAATTACAGACGAAGTAGCTGGCCTGTGGCAGAGTGACTGTCCTCAAATAAGGTATAAGAAGATATTCACCTTCCTCCATAATAGTTTGGGGCAAGAGAGCCAGAGGGCAGAGATGCATTACTTGCCATAACTTATGCCAACAATCTCTCCGAATCCACTCGTCTGTTGTCTCTCACTACGCCTTAGCTCCTCTGCATCATGAGCCTAATAACCACCTTCCTGGGAATGGGAAAGGGCAGCTTTGGCAGCCATATGCTTATTTGTCCATAGATCAGTGTCAAGGATAAACAGAGAACATAAACCTCCCTCACAGAACAGGATTAAATTTAGTCGTTTCAGTGATACCTTCAGCATTTGAGACCCACACCGGAATCCTGGCACTCACTCCTTTCTGAGTGTCCACTCTATATTGCAGAGAGCAGAAGCCTACTTGGAGAGTGTCCATGACAACCCCATAGCCAACTTTGACAGGAGACCTCCCAAACAAACAACTGGGCTGGAACCCCAGCTCTATGGTCAAGGCTCTCTCTAAGCCTGACCATTGATGTGGGGTATGAATAACATGTAGTTCCCAGACTGCTGACTGACTCGTGTATGCACAGTGTCCCCAGGACAGGCAAGCATTACCCACAACCTCCCAGCATCCCATCCACACTTTGACCCATTTCTGTTTACCTTGCAGTCACTGTCCTGTCAAGACACAAATACGGTGCTGGTAAACATCACAGAGTAACTGGTCCTTTCTCCAACATCTAGACTGAACCAGCATGCAGTGGACAGTGTCTCCTGTGTTGAGAGCGACAAAGGGATATAGGCAGGATGCAAACACAACAGCAGGCCTGGGAGGAAGATGGTGGAGGGGATTCACCTCTCCCGCAAAGTGACAAAACTTTCCTTTTCACCTGACCTTGATACGAGAGACAGATGAATGAGCTTTGCTCTTCCGTGTCCACGCAAATAGTTATTTAGGTGCTTCTAATTCACGAGCAGCTTTTGTGGGGTTTGCACACTGCTCCACTCTTACAACGATGCTAGGGAAGGCCATAAGTGGGACATATGTCATGTTTACTATGTGTTCCTCTGGAGAAGCCTACGGTAGAGGTTTTAACTCTTTTTGTGCTGGACTTCTCTGTAGTAAAGCACATCTGGACTCCCTGCAGGGCTCCCACATCTGCCTTCTCAGTCACACCACAAAAATACCCATCTCAGGTCTCAGCTTGCAGAGAGGCTTATGCCTTACAAAGATCATTATGTCATACTCAGGACCCTCGGATAAGAGACCTCTGCTGAGGTAAAGCTGGCCTGCCACCTCCACACAGAGTGGTGAGATGCTATGAAGATCCTGATAAATGGTAGGAAACATGACTACAGCAAAATCACAGAAATCAACATCATGAAAGTGCTGGACCAGTCAAACATCACCAATACTAGAGACCATGAATACATAATGGAGTAGGCAACAAAGGGGGATCTGGCAGGCCACATTGAGAAAGTGGGCTGTCTGCAGGAGGAGCAGGCTCAGCACATCTTCTGTCAGATGGTGTGTGCAGTTCACTACAGTCATGAGAACAGCATTATTCATAGGGACATAGAGAATCAGAGAGGCTTATCACGTAAACCCCTAAATCATACTCAGGACTCCTGGAAAAGAGACCTTTGCTGAGGTAAAGCTGGTCCGTCACTTCCACACAAAGGTGCAAGTTGCTGTTATCCTTGAAAAATGGTAGAAAGAATGACTATAGCAACATAACAGAAATTGACATCTTCAAAGAGCTGGACCAGGCAAACATCATCTAGCTGTTCCACATCATCGATACCAAAGAGCACACCTATACGGTGATGGAGCATGCTGTTCATGGCGATCTGGTGAGCCACACTGAGAAAGTAGGCTGTCTGCAGGAGCAGCAGGTCCAGCAATCTTCACTCAGATGGTGTGCACAGTTCACTACAGTCATGAGAACAGCATTGCACACTGGGTCATGAAGGATCTGTGAGAATCCTCTTCAGAGGCACTGCTTTTTGGGTCCATCTGCATTATCAC